CCCCCCCCATCCCACTTATCACACATAAGAAGAATCGCGGAGCATTTCGCGGTTCTTTCAAGGTTGCTCATACGAGCCCAGAAAGCGCTATACTGCGTTATTTTGTTATCGTTCTGTTCGTTCGTTCTGTTTTTACGCGAGCCAAGTGGGATAGGGGGATGTAGAGGGCGCCACAGTGAGATAGCCACAGTGAGAAGAATCCCTCGTAACTTCGTTCAGAGAATCGTTCGGCAAAAACCGAAAACGGATTTGAGCTCAGCGTCGCAAGACGCGTGCATCGGACTACACCTCATTACAAATGGCCGGACCGACCAATTGACCATTCCTTGTAGAAAACTTTGTTTCCGTCCATTGACCTTATGGGAAATTAGCACGGTGGGTATGATTTGAATTTCGCCGATGGAGGTCTTCGCGATACCTCTACCTATAGCTCAAAGAAAGGTCCGCAGGGTGAATATCGGTCGAGGATTCCTCAACGGCTTGTCGAGGATTTTCGCCTGATCATTACGCTCTCCCGCGCGGACATTCACACTCGCCATGCGCGAGCCGTCTGTGCTCTCCGCGCGTACGTTCACTCTCGGCACTACTCTCGCACAGTACAGAGCCATGGTCGAGGAATTTCCGTTATTCACCTGGTTCGAAGTGATAAATGATTAAGGCTAACGGATGATAAGGTAATCGTGAGTCATACGACAAGGCTTAGAAAAATACTTAACGCTTTCTTCTTGAGAAGCGAAGAAGTATTCGGAATTCAATACGACCCAAACTGGATGTGCCATGCGCTGTAATTGTATCCAGAAAGGTTTGAAGAATTATGTGCACACTGCAATGACGCGCCATTTAGCCAACGGGAGCACTTTCTGCAGGTGCGCAGGTGCGTAGCGTTTCTCCTCCTGGGGTCAGGTCACCTAAAATTGAGACGCCGTTCATTCGCTCGGAGCAAGCTTAGGACTAAGCCTAGGCCCAATCATAGGCTTAGGCATAAGCCAATGTGTAAGCATAAGCCTTAACCTAAGTCTAAACCCAAACTTAACCTTAAGCTTCAATGATCGCGCAACTGTGGTGACCTGACCCAGTAGGAGAAACGCACTTCTCCCATTTTCTGCTTCTCAAGCTTCCCCGTTCACCAAGGAATACACTTCTTCTGTGGGTCTCGGACCGAGACCTTTTGCACAGCAATTCTTCCCATTTCGCCACTGAACTATTTACTCCCATACGAGCGACAAAACTGACCCACCTTGCCTCTACCGTACATCTTCGTTGGCGTGTTCACTGATATAAAAATCAGATCGGCTTCTTGAATTGCTCGCGGGATATCCGTGACGAAATGGAGATTTCGACCACGTGCTGCGAACACTATCTCGTCCAGGCCGGGCTGTAATCGAACAAAAATAGTGGGATTGCCTAATTAAATCGGCGCCGAGAGCCTTACCTCGTAGATCGGCAGCTTGTCGGAATTCCATTGAGTGATTTTCTCCATATTCATATCGACCACCGTAACCTAAGCATCGACTATTCATGCAATCTGTAATGCTTACAGCATTTCATACCACAAGCAGTTGCATTAGGGGAGCTATAGCAAGTTTGAAATCCCGTACAACTAAGCCTTAAAGGAGGGAAGAATATCGGGAAAATGAAAAGTGCTCATGCAACTTGATGTTTTTAAACCACGCCCCCTCCCTTCTTAGAGCTTGCTTACTCCTGAAACTGACTTAAAACACTTAAGCCGTGGCTCCATTGTATTGAAGCCGCAAAACCTCCCCTCGTTTTGTGATAGCGCCCATTCTAGTCATTCAGAATGTTCCAAACTGCTCTCAAGAGAAAATAGGCGATAATAATAGAATAATAAACAATAAATAGAATAATCAGAAATATACCTGAATGTCCGGACACTTGTATGCAATCATTGCACATGTGGGACCACCAACATAGCCCGCTCCGACGCATGTTATACGCTCAACCTGAAAAGACAGTTCACATAAATTTTTAGGACGTCCCTATTGTCTGCAAAAATTCTGCTGAAAACTTAGTTAAGGGGCATTCCCTGATTTTGCAGGTCACGCTGAGCACCAGGCCCAGAAGGAAGAGTAACTCATGGAAAAACGTGAGCCGCTTACGCACCGCGGTGTCCCTTCCATGTTACTTGGCGCTAAAAAGAAGCGCTACCTCGATTCGTGACCTGTAAAACCAAGGTGTCCCTCGAACTAACTTGCCACCACCCTCAACCATTGGTTTAGCATGTCTGCCGTATCGCTGAAATTTTTGTTTCGTGATCTTGAATCAAAAGCAATATATAGCTCATTCGAAGTATGGAATCGAAAAAATAAAGAAAGTCTGAGTTTTTCAACGCTATTTGCCTTTGCCGATCTGCTTTCAATCACGCTAAAATCAGCCAATCAATAATAGAATAGAAATACCTTCTCCACACGAGGTATTGGCCCTTCATGGTCCCCCGTGGAGTGACTATGTGTTCGCCCTCCTTGCGAAAGCGCCATTTAGCCCCGCACGGTGTCGGCAAATGGAAAAAACTCCAGAGCCAACTGCCACGTATATAAAAAGCCGCACGTGCGGTCAGTGTCAGTGTTCACAGGTAATATCCATTCTCACACAATAATCGATACCCATCAATAGTCTATCCATCCCCTAATGTTTAATAGGAGGTATTTATCGTATTCCATTTAACCATTTTTACCGTCAGTTTACTTCTTTGGAGCACAACAACTCAGATATCGAGTGGAGCGGTATGCTTCTTGAAGACGGAAATGGTGCAGTGGCTAAAGGCGTTGGAGCCCAATACTACGCTCTGAATCCAGCCAAGCTCTGCCAGGATTTACTCAACGGGGCATGAGCTGCTATTAGGAGGGTATTTGAATGGATAAGCAATCAAATGTCTCTGAATTCAATCGTATAAGCATCGAGCGAGATGTGCGGCTTACTCCAAAGAAAAAAAAAACTAATGGCCAAATTGACAATTTCCTAAATGATACAACTTCAGTGACCATGTTCAAATATTTCTCCGCAACATGAAGGTCCATCCGAAACGTAGTCACCATGATGGAAACACCGAAGAGAGTGTCTTGCCGCTGACTCCAATCTTCATTAAAAACCGACTGGTAAATTTCCGTTCTTCACGGGATGGGTGTGTGCCATAAGGCCGCTTTCAATCATACAATGCGCTGTTGCAACCAGCCATCGTTGGTGTCGGCGATTTCAGACATAAGACCCCTCCACCCCCTGGCCCCATAGAGTTGTTGCTCACAATACCCACAATTCACCCCCACCCCTCCGGCATAATTTGACAAGCCGAAGCAAGGGGGAGATGGCAGAAATCGCCGATTTTTAATATTTTTCCAAATTCCGCTGTGACTTTTGAAGTTTTCAGATCCTTGCCTTCTCGTGACTTTCAGACATGATACCCCCTTTCGCGAGAGAAGAACGAGTCTCCCAATCCCAGAGCTTAATCCTCCCTTCTGACGCGGTTAGACAGATGGTCTCTACTGACCAGATGAGCATTTGCGTGAGCTCTGAAGGAAGGTTTTTTCAAGCATGGAGCTGCTTTTCAGAACGATTTTTTCGCATGCTGTGAGCGCTTTGGAGTGAACTAGAAAAATAAAGTTCATTTCTGCTGAGAGGCCCTGAAGACTGAAGAAGGATCGAAAAAATTTGCTTTGCCTTCACAGGGCCGAGTCAGTAATTAGTAGAGAAAGGCCTATGGGCAGAAAACCCGACAGAGATGGCATTAATGTCGGCTTTCAGTAACGTAGCCCTTTTATGGCAATTTGCCAGATGAAGTTGAGTAGGCTAACAAATTAATCCGCTTCTCTATTGAAAGACACTAATGAGATTTGTGAATCACCTATTTGAACAGAGGATGAAACGTAAAACTTACTTTTTTGAACATGGCCATTTGAGGATCTGCGCCTGAACACCTGAGATGGGAACGTAGCCGGCCTGAAATTGGAACTCAGAAAAAAGGGTGTAATCAGTAAACACGAAACAGGTGGCAGGATACGAAAAGCAGGGTCAACCGTCAGTCTTGCGGGGTCAGACGAGAGAGGTATTCCGCGAATTCGGGGCGAATGGTTGTATTCAGCAAGTGAGTTTATATTTGTGGAAGACATGGAAGGTAAAAAGAAATACAAAAGTCGAGAAAATTGTGGCGAAATTTTAGAGAAAAGTCGGAAAATTTCAGCAAACCTTGGCAAAATGCCAAGTTTTGCCATTGCATTAGTCATCCATAAAATGGGGAGGGGGTCGTATATTCGAAAATGACCACAGGCCACGGTTGACCCTGATGGAAAGTGAGACTGAAAGCAGCGGGAGAAACAAAAACAACACGGCGAGATTGCATCGTGAGTCGACGGATCGAACGTGTAGAAAACTGAGTTTCTCCGACGTATACAAGAGATCGAATCACAACAATTTTGAGAGGATAGTTCAGAGAAAGCGATACAACGACGATCGGTCGCTCTGGAATACGCCATGCATCTGCCGTGCTCGAGGCAGGGCAAGGCGAAGGCAAGCGAGTCCATTTAGTCATTCACTAATCACTAGGTACTGTAAGTAATGTAATGCAGAGGAGCCTGCGCGGTAGAATGGATTGCACTCATCAGCTTCCTCTTCTGGATATTTCTATGAGCACAAAAGTAATAGCAGCAAAAGAAAACACTACTCTGCTCAAAGAATGTTTCTTGGCAGTGTTTTGAAGTCGAACATAATTGAGAGCTCCCACCATTCTAAATGAAAGACGAAGACGAGGCGGATTCTGAAAGGACTCACTGACCCTAGTATTACTGGGCGGCGGTTCCCAGTGTAAGGTTGTAAGCCTTCCACCAACATTTCAGAGGTCGGACTTCAAGGAGGTTGGGGCAATGATGGAATATTTAAAGGAGGAATTCACGATTAGAATGAAGGTCGAAGAAAGGGAAACTGACCTAGTTGAGGGACCCACGGACCTCCTGAGGGTGCGAACTGACGCGCAATTCGCATGGAAAAATTTGACCTCGGCGACCTATCATGCCTCAAAGCTGGCGGGTCCGGCGATCTCCGCCCACCGATCATCTGATCACTCGCCGTAGTTCAATACGTGGCGAGTGATTAGATAGCTGAGAGAGCGTAGTGTTGAAGAGGGCACAGCGATGAGAGTCGCATCAATGCTCAAATCAACGGGCAAGGAAGGGGTCCCATTTCTCGGGTTCTGGGCCGTTTCTCATGGTTCTTCCTTCTTTCGTGTACCACTCACCATCCCTAGGTTAATTTGAAATGGGTTGCTTTTTCATCGTGAATTCGTCCTTTAAGCTAGGCTACTGTTCCTTGCGGACCTGCTAGCACACTCCACCCAGCTCACAAAACTGGTGAATATGCAGGATGGTCACTGAAAGGAACTCTGGAAATCAAAAGGAACATGATGATGTCAAATCGTGTTTCGAGCTGATTCGGGCTCGAAGCATGTGCGATACAAATTCCATATTTTGAAATCTTCGCGAGTTTATGGAAAAGCATCGTTATTACCAACATGTCGCATCAGAAGCGCGTTGAAAAACAACGGCTTGTCTGTCCAGATCACTTTTCAATGGCGCCAGAAACCGTCGAGAGTGCCAAGGGGTAATTGGAGTGTGAGTCATCTTCATATAAAAAACCAACCCCGGAGTAGAGCGAACTATAGAGGGTACCCCCAGGCAAGAAGGCCGAGTCGGCGGACGAGTCGCGGCGCGTGATGTGCGATGAAGGACGTGCAATGGGACATTCTATTTAACTTGACGCGATTTCCCTAATACGCGCGCGACTCGGCCTTCTTGCCGCGCGACGGGCCTCCTGGGGGTACCTGAACTATAGTTCAGGTACCCCCCAGGAGGCCCGCGTGCGTGGCCAGCGTGCCCTCGCCTATCCGCTGATCGACCCACTATGTTGTTGGGCGTTTGAAAGATCCTAATCAGAAGTGATGAAGAAGGAAGCTCAAAAATAGGTTCCAGAAAAATTGAAAGTATCAGCCACGGAAGGCAGCGTGTAAATGGGCAGAGTAATTGCTCAAGTAGGATAATGTGGGTGCTACTTCGCAAAACATTGTCTCATGACTTTCCCATTTTTCCTGGATTTTCTATAGCAATGGGTATAAAAACAGCCATTTACTATGAATAACCTAATAAATGAATAGATAAATAAATAAATAAGTTAATTAATCAATTAATTAATTAATTAATTAATTAATGCATTAATAAATGCATAAATAAATAAATGCATAAAAAATAAATAATAAATTCGGCACAGAGCACCTTTACGGTACACCTCGTACGCATTTGTCATTTAAAATGGTGGAAGCGCTTGATTGCACCCTGCATTAAAGGCAAGCCTCGGGACGAAGTATGTGTGGATGAGGGGTACAACCGTCGCGCGGCAAAAGGCAAAGTCAGCGGACGAGTCGCGCGCGCACTATAGGGATTTCGCGTCAAGTTAAAAAGTGTCCCATTGCACGTCCTACATCGCACATCACGCGCTGCAACTCGTCCGACGACTCTGCCTTCTTGCCGCGCGACGGGCCTCCTGGGGGTACCCGTGGATGAGCATTCAATAAGATGCTCAAGGTAGGGAGTGGCTCTGGAAAAGAAAAAGGAAACCAAGAGAAACCCCAATTACGCCCAGGATAAGGACCTCCTCTATTTCAACTGCACTCGCACTTGGTAATATGAGAAGGGCGGTGGTTTATACAGTTTCCCCGAACTGCTGCCACTTGCTTCAGTGCGCAATGACATGGAAGCGCAACGCGACCGCTGTCGCGATTGTGCCCACGCCTTTCTCGTCGCGTCATGTGGCAACCGACAGCGGAAGGCGGAGCTTGCGAACGGGGGAGTGGACTGCGAGTCGAGCGAGCTTCCAGTGCCTTTGTCGCGTAGTTCTAAGCCGAAAAAGAGGTGCGACATCAACGCTTGTCCACCTCTCTTCGGCTTTCGGGTATGGAGCAGGTGAGCGTGCTTCTGAATAAGTTATGAAGCTCTCTTCAAGCAATGCATTGCTTGCCTCGAAGGAATCATCGACCACGTAAGGCAAAAATCATGAGTTTGCAACGTAATAACTTCGTATCCTCTTGCACTAGAGTATGGCCAGCAGGAGCTGCGTGTACATGTTTAAAGGACGAATTCAC